AAGCACACACTTTAATTCACTCTAATTAACAATAAAAAAGGAGGAACGAGTTCCAACGTGACAATTACATGTATGGTTAGCACAGTTTCGGGAATCACATTTAGAGTTCACACAAACAAAATCACCAAGAATGGTACCATTACGATACCCCAAAGTCAGTATCGTGTGTGGCCTATATGGGCATCGATGAAAGCGTTGCGTCGTCTGTACATGAAATGAATTAACCATATGGGTCCATACTCTGTGAAATGTCTGATCGAGTCTAGCTGCAGTTGTCAGCCTTGGTTGGAGGTCATTCAGTCTTCTTTGAATCTCGCTACAAAGGTGTTCTATTGGATAAATTCCGGACTGAGTGCAGGCCATTGTAGGGTTTGGATGCTGTGTTGTCTCAGGAAGTCCAGTGTTGCTCTGACTGGCAGTGTGGGCACGAGCGTTGTCTTGCTGGAAGATGTGATTTCTGTGACGTCCACAATGTGGTACAACGTGGGGTCCTATGACTTGGTCAATATGGCGAGTAGCTGTCACGTCGTTTCCTCATCCTGGACCGAGATTTTGGAACACCAAGGTGCCATCTTTCTGGTTCAAACTGATTGCATCCCACATCATGATGCTTGGACCATCCCACGAGTCTCTTTCAACAATACACTCATTGGAAAACAGTTCCCCATGCCTTCGCCATACTCTCGCTCTGCAATCGGCTATCGAAACATTCATCAGAAAAAAAACAGTTTTCCGATTGTCGCTAACGCCAATTTCGAGTTACCAATTGCAATCGGTTTTGGCGGTGACGAGCGGTGAGGACAGGGCCACGATATGGTCTGTGACAGCAGAGCTTTCTTCCGCGCAAACGTCGATACACTGTGTCGGCACGATTGGGTCTGTTGTGAGTCCCAATGGTCTGCGTGGTGTTTCCGTCGCTCTGGTGATGCGATCCTGCAGATGGTTGCCTACGTTGTGATGGTACTGAAGGTCGTCCACTACGTGGACAATCTTGGATACTATTAGTGGCCTGATACCGCTCCTGCAGTCGGTAGATTGTCCTAACATGAACATTAAGATGATTGGCTACCCTCCGTGCAGTCTGGCCAACTTGCAATCGTCCCAACGCTTGGTTCCTCTGATCTCTCGTAAGTCGTGGCATGACGACTGTGTCAAAACAAAAATGATGTCAGGCGAGTTTGGGACTCGCTTTCATTGGTAGGGTTGTCACGATATGCACGTGCATTTTCATTTTCACCAATGTCATACGGAACCTTTTACCAGGTCTGTCTTTTTAGGAACGTTTGGTCGATATGATTTTTCATCAGAAAACAAACTGCTGCCGGTAATAACTGTCAATTTGGATTGTAAAACATGTTATCAAAACGGTACAATCATAATAAACACCACCTTGTAAGAACAACATTTTGCAGTTGGTTTTGAAAGGCGCCGTTTCTTTTGCTGTTCAGTATATTTTAAAAAGAACTCTTGAACCCTGTCCACCTTAAAACTGCAGTTTATATTTGCCACATGCAGAGATCTGACTCAGGCTGTTGTGTTAACTTGAAAACAACCCCACAATAACTGAGATGTTTTAAAATAATGTATTGGACAAAGTCATGATAATATTTTTTGTTTTGTGCGTCCTTATAATTAGCGTTTCTTCCGACACGAGTTAAAATGGTCTTATCACTGGCAAAACATGACCTTGAAACGGTCTCTACAACATTGTGCACACTTACGTTAAAAGACTGGGAGTGTGTGCTGCCATCTGACTGGCTTAACACGTTGTGAAGTGGAACAGGATCCGGTTGGTATCTTTTGCATACCACAGTTCAACTAGCAACTTTGATTCAGTTGCTAAAGTGTAACTCTACCTCTGGTCTGAGAGTAAATATATCTCCAGTTTGAGAGTAACCGTACCTCTGGACTAAATATACCTGTAGTCTGAGTGTCATTAAACCATGGTTCCTCTGTTTAAGACCGGGGTTTAACTGACAGCCAAATCAGTTAAACCCCGGACCAGAACTACTTTCCAAACAACAAACAAGTAAATTGCAGAAAAGGTTTATTCGGGATAATTTACATTTTCGCAGATTTCTCAAGGTACCCACGGGTACCTTTTATATCTTTATCACTGCCTGACTTCATCATGACGTCCATATCCAGTCCCATTTGGGAAGATGGCGGCATGTCATTGTCAAATACGTGTGCGTCCATACTGTATAAGAGACAAATGTCATTGGCATGATTTGTGTACATCTTATACATGTATTCATATATTTGTTATCGTATATATGTTTTTAGTGTCTCATAAGCCGTTTGTGGCTCGACACACGGATTTTACTGTTGTATAAAGTATTGTGCATAAATGTATTTTTGCGTGTGACACTTTGATAAAAATATCACTACTATTGTTCTGTGACCAAAGCGGCGATATGCATGCGCGTGCCTTGAAGTATTCAGTAAACAAACACTGGCTCATGTCAAATGGTCCAAGCCAAAACCAATAGCAGCCCGAAACAAGAACAATTAACCGTTAGGAACTTGAGGTAGTATGCACAAAATTTAGATCGCTACTTTAACTTATGTTTACAGAATAACCAGGAAAGTTAAAGCTGGCCTTGGTCTAAATTGGTCACGCCACTAGCACCCTGTGTTCGCAGTGGAAGCTGTAAAAACTGACAGCTGTCCAATTCGGCAAGTTGTCAACACTGGTACAAAATCTCAGTCCCGTCCGTGACTAGTACTTTTATCATCATTTATAAGCTCTGCAATCCGGCAGCTGTCACTTCAGGATATCGGCATGAAATGAGCCGCCCGAATATGTGTTTATACTGGAAACCAGCGCTGTCTAATCCGGCGCTTGGCGAATTGTCGGCCGCATGTGTATTGTCACCAATTAATCCTGCGTTGAAACTACATGGTTGCCGACTAAGATGCCGGTCCTATCAGAGAGGAAAGCGATGAGGAAGATCACGACATTCCCCTGTCAAGGCTCACCTCGACTCTCCCCCCATGACAATGAGAAATTTCCTCAAAATGTGTAAAGAAATGAAGCTCTACGCTTCGTCTAGTGAGACGCGCTTGCTGTCCGACATTGAAAACTTAGAAATTGTCGCCAAGATAATTGCTCTGGAAATGTCAATTGAGAAGAAACAACCCAAAATGTCCGATTTTTTTCAAATGGATTGGTTTATCATGTTTGTATTATTATGTGAATAAAAGTGAATATGAGTTCACATCTTTGTCTTTTATTGTCAATATGGGTAGTAATTGAGAGTACCATGTGATACAACAATGTACATGAGAGTAACAAAACTGGTTCAGTTCTAGTCGCAGGTAACCGTGTCAGCACTGCAACCCCGCACGCTGTCTAAACAAAAGTGACAAAACAAAAACATAACACAAAGCTGTGATATACATGTAAATGAAATGATTGTCCCTCCCAAACATGGGCTTACAAAAGTGGTAGCGCCAAGATGATCATAACCACCATACTTGAAGATAGAGACCCGTGAAGGTCCGGGTTAGAATATTGATCTTCAGTAACCCATGCTTGTCGTAAGAGGCGACTAACGGGATCAGGCTCGCTGACTTGGTGACACATGTCATCGGTTCTCAATTGCGCAAATCGATGCTTATGCTGTTGATCACTGGATTGTCTAGTCCAGACTCGATTATTTACATACCGCCGCCATATAGCTGGGATATTGCTGAGTGCGGCGTAAAACTAAACTCACCCACTCACTTTCACATAGACTCACGACAGTCATATCACCAATGTGATCGAACGTCCCATACTTTAACACGGACTAACAATTTTCTCTGGCACTTATGTGATCGTAACCGCCATACTTTAGCATAAAGTTGCAATAGTTGTAGCGCTTAGGTGACGTTTCTTTAACATAGAATTACTATAGTCAAAGTGGTAAGGTAATCGTCACCCCCATACTTTAACATAGACTTATACCAGTCATAGCAGCAAGCTGATCGCACCTCACATGATTAAATAAAGACTTAATGTAGTCGTAACGATAGTATCGCTTTGTGGAACGAGATCCAGATTATGATTTATTTGAACTCTTTGTGGAGAGAGTTTTATGGAATTTGTTAGAATATAGTTTTAGCCCCTGCCTACCTTATCACAAGGAAAGTGTGTAATCTGGTTAAACGGATGGCAAGATAAGACTATGTCCATTCCAGCACACATAAATCAGCGAATCACCACGCTGACGGATGTACATCTACACATGGTGTACCAGGAACAACGCAGAATGGGGCCAGACTGTGCCGGATGTTTCTGGGGAAACAAATCTTCCACAACAGGTGGCGTCAACAGTCCAGGCTTATATAAGTACCAGAATCTACGGAACTCGTCATCTCATCTTCAACAAGCTCAGGTAAGTGGCATAACGTTACAGGGAACAAGGGTTTTGAAATAAGAACCTCCAGTTATACCGGCTCAACCACTGGTTAGTTTCATGGCCTAAAGAGCCACAATTCGTTGTTGCCTTTCACAGGTGTGCCTCCTGATGGTGTTTGTTGGTCTATCGGCACCAATCCGTGCCCGTTGGTTTGGTATCACCCAAGTGATAGACGTGTACGACCTGTGTCATTTCTGGATTGCCTACCGCACCAAGCTGACATGTGCATACCGTCATATAACTGAAATACTCTTCATGGAGACGTCCAAAATAATTTCCAAATACACTGTGACTTCCACACGTGTATATTATGTAATGGAGTTCAGACAGTCTTTTACACTTAGTCAAATATCAAAATTTTGACTATAACAAGGTGTTGATCGCTCACATTTTATTTCGTCAGTCCTATTTGTAGGACAAAATAACCGTTTTCGAAACATATCGTGTCATTCTTTCCGATTGGTCAATTTGTGGCTTAGGTAACAAGCAGCGAGAAAGCCAAAGTGTTTTCCACTTTCAAGAATATTTTCAGACTGCACAAAAGACGAAAAGGAACAATATATCAACAAACCGTTTGCAAAATATGATACAAACCACTTGTTGTTTCAGGTTCAACATGCACCTATTACTAACTCTGTTGACAATTACTACCTCGGTAGTCTACCCACTGCCAGCTGATAAACGGGGCTTCTGGAGTGATCTCAAACACGAGGTGGAGAACGCAGCACACCAGGTCGGACACAATGTGGAGGGGGCGGCAGTGACGGATTTGACAAACGCTGCAGTCGGGGCACTGGGCAAGAGAGAAATCTCCGCTGATAAACGGGGCTTCTGGAGTGATCTCAAACACGAGGTGGAGAACGCAGCACACCAGGTCGGACACAATGTGGAGGGGGCGGCAGTGACGGATTTGACAAACGCTGCAGTCGGGGCACTGGGCAAGAGAGAAATCTCCGCTGATAAACGGGGCTTCTGGAGTGATCTCAAACACGAGGTGGAGAACGCAGCACACCAGGTCGGACACAATGTGGAGGGGGGCGGCAGTGACGGATTTGACAAACGCTGCAGTCGGGGCACTGGGCAAGAGAGAAATCTCCGCTGATAAACGGGGCTTCTGGAGTGATCTCAAACACGAAGTGGAGAACGCAGCACACCAGGTCGGACACAATGTGGAGGGGCGGCAGTGACGGATTTGACAAACGCTGCAGTCGGGGCACTGGGCAAGAGAGAAATCTCCGCTGATAAACGGGGCTTCTGGGGTGATCTCAAAAACGAGGTGGAGAACGCAGCACACCAGGTCGGACACAATGTGGAGGGGGCGGCAGTGACGGATTTGACAAACGCTGCAGTCGGGGCACTGGGCAAGAGAGAAATCTCCGCTGATAAACGGGGCTTCTGGAGTGATCTCAAACACGAGGTGGAGAACGCAGCACACCAGGTCGGACACAATGTGGAGGGGGCGGCAGTGACGGATTTGACAAACGCTGCAGTCGGGACACTGGGCAAGAGAGAAATCTCCGCTGATAAACGGGGCTTCTGGAGTGATCTCAAACACGAGGTGGAGAACGCAGCACACCAGGTCGGACACAATGTGGAGGGGGCGGCAGTGACGGCTTTGACAAACAAGGCGGTCGGGGCTGTGGTTGGCAAGTGATGAACTCAAACTTAGAGTAAGTTATTAATTCTGCAAACACACGCGACTGTACGTTTGAACGTCTTCTTATAACCAGTCAATCAAGTTTCCTTTCAAATATTTTTTTTTATATTCTCGTGGCAATTTTTAGTCACGATGTATAAGTGAAACGGATATATTTAGGGTGTGAGTGCAACAGCGCAAGTTTTGAAAGGTTTACCTTCTAACAGCCAATCGTGTCCAAGGTGAAGGACACAGACTTGCACAGCACAGTGCAACACCTCAGACGAATGGGTGATAAAGCCTGCTAAAATGAGATAGACGTCATATCATGCTGAATCTGTATCCGTGTCTATGTTGTATTTCCAGGTTTCCCGGAGCTGGGAGTGGAACTGGATATTGTTACAGTCACAGAACACAGAGATATATTTCCAATAAACATGTTTATGCCACTTTTAACCAGTGTCTCATCTGTTGTATATATCTGTTATAACATCAGCACAATCAGTCACGTGACGTACTACAACAACAAACACCAACATTAGCACCAGGCTTCTGTCCGGTCCTGACTCAAGTGGCCGACATTCATCATTAGTTCAGTAGCGTTTAGCTATACTGAATCACCTATAAAATAAATGTTTGATCCCACACATGAATACTGACCCCTACTGTGTTGTAAAACAAATATATTTCTAAAATACACATAGAAACTTTGAATAATAACCTCTGAGCTTCTTCACAGCAGTTGCTTGGTTTATTGCTTAACGTCGCAATCAGCAATATTCACGCTATTTGAAATAATCGAGTCTGAAACAGACAATTTAGTGATCCAAAGCATGAGCATCGATCTACGCAATTGGAATACGATGGCATGTCTCAACCAAGTCAGCGACACTGACCACCCGATCCAGTTAGTCGCCCCTGACGACAAGCATACTTTTTATGCAGAAATATTTTGCTCAGAATACTAATGTTTATTGACTTCGGCTTCTCACAGTTTGTGTTCATAATGTTCACTTTGATCAAATCAGGAGCATGACTTCTCCCACTTTGTGTTCATAATAATGTTCACTTTGATCAAAACAGGATTATAGATTTCCCATGTAACTAATTGAGTTACTCCCAGAGGTACAGAGTTGGATACGACTGGCTGTTGGGCTTCCTCTTCTCCCCCTATGAATAACTGACAAGAAACGTGTAACCAAGATCGAGTAAACAGTTAAAACATAAACTCAATGAAGCTGCAAGTTTGCATAGTCAAACATACTACGATGCATCGATATTTTTCATTTCTACCATCGATTAATTGCTTTCAGAATAATTGCAATTCATCGATATTTTAATGCATCATTACAGCCCTATTAATTATATCGCTTAATATATTCTTATGCACATAACTTTGGATCAATCCATTACCCAATAAAGGTAGCAGTGCAGTGAACGTGAGTGCAACCAACCATAACTTTTGTTGATTTAACGTGTCTGACAAATGGGACGTCGAACTGATCGGAGGACACCAGACAGTAAGATGCATGCAATATTTTTCAATATTGCCCTTGTGGATTTCCATTATGATTTGCACACATAATGTTTCGCATACAGTGTACATCACTATCTATGTAACTGTATTAGTGTTATGGAGCGGCATTGACATACATGGTACAACGGACACTGGGTAGGAACTGTAGTCTAATTTTGCTTACAGAACTATGGAGGGAAGCGAGTGAGTGAGTGAGTTTGGTTTTAGCCGCTTTTAGCAATATTCCTGAATATCACGGCGGGAACACCAGACATGGGATTCACACATTGTACTGACTGACTGAGTTTGGCTTTACGCCGCTTTTAGCAATATTCCAGCAACATCAAGGCGGGGGACACCAGAAATGGGCTTCACACATTGTTCACACATTGTACCCACGAGGGGAATCGAACCCGGGTCTTCAGCGTGACGAGCGAACGCTTCAACCACTAGACCACCCCACCCCTTGGAGGGAAGGGGGTAAGGCAGGGCAGCATTTATTCATGTATTTCACGTAGCCACTGAGATGTAAAGCTGGGACGGTCGGTCGGTCGGTTTTAAGATATAAAAAAAAATATTATTACACAAATCTTGATTTCTGCGTATCTTAATCAGAAGAAAAGTTTAAAACATACTTAGCTTTGATTCTGCTTTATATTTCCTGCTTGTGGTAAAGAAGAAAAGACATGTGTTAAAAGAAACTAATTACTTCTGTTTAATCAGGTATTCGGAAAATAAGAACTAAGTACTATTCAAGCACAGATCATGTCAGAATATGCTCGCTCAACCGATCCTTGATGATGAGGGTGTCTTGGTTTACCGTGCACAATAATCAGATCTATCCAAAGTTTTCTTTAGTTCAGTGTTTATTTGAGCTGTGAAGTCAGTCATTTCCATGGATTGACTGAAACTGTTCAGGCAATCAGTCTAACTAGAACTCTCATGTTTTAGTCATTTGACCAAAATGAATGAAACTTCTTTAGTCTCTTGAGTGAGTGAGTGAGTGAGTGAGTATGATTTTACGCCGCTTTTAGCAATTTTCCAGCAATATCACGGCGGGAGACACCAGAAATGGGCTTCACACATTGTACCCATGTGGGAATCGAACCCGGTCTTCGGCTTGACGAGCGAACGCTTTAACCACTAGGCTACCCCACCGCCCCCTTTAGTCTTTTGACCAAATGACTGATCGTTTTAGTATTTTGACCAAATGACTGAAGTTTGACAGATTGACTGTAACATTACACACCAAAATCGTTTGTTGTCAAATTTTGAAACCCATAACAGATACATTGAACGCAAAAATCAGAAGAGAACATTTGAAAAGATGCGCGAGTGCGTGCGTGCGTGCGTGATAGTGCGTGCGCGCGTGTGTGTGTGTGTGTGTGTGCGGCCCCCGTCCTGAAAGTTTATTAATGATCATTGATACTCCTGTGAAAACGGGTGAACATGAACTGTAGAAACCAACCCCATCCCCATCCCATCTATATCCGCCTCTGAATTACGTGAAGCCCTTTCGTGGTGTACCCCGCCGTGATATTGTTTAAATATTGCCTTTTAACTAACGCATATTGCTGGAAAATTCACATCTTATCTTAATGTTCATTATACGTCATGTCAGACGGCTTTAATGGCCAATAATGTGCATTTATTTCAAACATGTCTCAGTTATTGTCATCTTTACACTTTTAACATGTTTGAATGTTAAATAAGTTTAACTGGTGGTAATTGTATTCGGGTGTAAAACCGAACATGATTAAATTCTATCAGGAAGTTGTTTGATTTAAACAACATTAAAACATTCTTAATACATGCATATATAGATCTAAACATGTCATGTATGTGTTTACATTGTGCACTGTGTGTTACCTGTATTACGTATAACAATCACTAACGCGAAATTCAACCCTATAACGCATCACTTTCAAAACCACGTGACAAGGACTCTGTAGAAGCAGACTACTCAAAGTGCTTAAAGGTGTCACATGCAACAAAAAAATCAAACATAATTAAAACACAATTATCACTTATTCATGACATATAATATACATTGCTGGTTATGAAAAACATATCAACAAAATTATAAGCGTACAATCGCAAATTAAAAGTGCAATATTAGGTACTTGGGTTTACTTCCCAAGAAACGAAGCAGCCGGGATACCGAACCCAGTCAGAGGGGTGGGTGTGCACTCAAGTGTAACGGCTGGTTCATTTACAGATGCAGTCTTCGCGGCCCATTGTGCGCGTGTACATATAGAGATGTTGGGTTTTGTAAATACATGCTCATTTTTGTGTATAACATTTTACAGTCAACAGACATCATAAACATGTCATGTGTTCAAGCATCAGACCTGCCTGTCTGTGTAATTACATAATGTGACAGAGACCGAACTCGGGTCATAAATCAATGCATTTTGTTTATGGTGGATAGCCTGATTGGTGTTAAGTTCAAATTGCATGTGGTCAGTGATAGCAGCTGTGTATTGAATATTGTCATTATCAGACAGGCAGGCAGACACACAGGTGTCAATAAAACAAGACATTGAGTTTTGTCTGTGACAACGACATATCTATATCACAGTTAGAAATTCTGTCAACGCTAAATAATGACATTGCTTTTAAGTATCGAACTGAGAAAGTGACTCGGTAAGAAGAACGAGTGGTGAAATAGACAAATGAAATTATATAAACAGTTAATTTACTGTCATAACATATAAAAAGCTCGCGCCTGTGAGATATCAACAAAACATTAGAAAAATAGCTCACACCAAAGCCTTCACCGAGTATTCACTGGACAACCCGCTTCCAAGTTGCGCGAACCTATTTCACTGCGCACGTGCTATGAGCGCAGCCCAGCTGTTGAAACCAGTTTTCCCCAGAAAAGTCTAGGGAAAATTAGTGAAACGTTTGAACTCGCGATTTCGTGCGTTTTTTCATCGCGTTATTTTTCAACTTTATAAGTTGAATTTGCATATTTGACGATTTGTTTTGGTAAGTCCATATCAGAAGTTATGTTTTACGTTGCATGTGACCTTTAAGGAATCCAAACTCTCACCCGATTACTATAGTTTATCTGTTACCGGGTGTCCCTTAACTTCAATGGAGTAGTATGTTTTGTGGTTGAACGTTGTGTTTGAGTGGAAGAGTGAGTGAATCTGCTTTCAACATTGCTGCACCATAACGGAACCATTTTGGGTGTCTGTGGAAACACATTCTACACTGTTGGTAAATCTAGCAGTAAATGATTAGACAGAATGAGTGAGTTGAACAGTACTTCAATCACGTCTCGGCGTATTGGTTTGATGAGGGAGGAAAATCCGAATTAACACAGATTGTAGACGTTGAGTGAGTTTAGTTTTACGCCGCACCCAAGCAGTATTCCAGTTATATGGCGGCGGTCTGTAAATTATCTAGTCTGGACCAGACAATCCAGTGATCAACGTGGAACTGATGAGACCAAAAGCAGGATTTGGTGCTGACAAACTTAACAGCATGATCAGACTCGAACAATGATAACGCGTTTATGGTCCGCAAACGGGACGCAACTCTAGCTAGCGAATTGCTCGCCATGGCCAAGAGGGCGACCAGTACCCCTTTAAAGAACAAATAAACTTTGTTGTTTTTACTCTTTTAACCATTACATATGAAAGATTTGTGGTTAGTCTTATGCGGAACACCAAATTCATTCTTATAAAACTTGTGGTTAATCAATACCGAGTGATTAAAAGTTGACAAAAGTCGCCTGCTTCACTCTCACCCGCCAACGAAACCACAGACAGGTTATGTAACTCTGTCCCCAGAGCACTGCAGTGACGTCATATGAGGAACGATTTTCAGAGAGTTGTATAGAAAGTGTGTAGCAAGCTCGTCATTTTGATGATTTCTCGACACCAACAAAGACATACCGAATCGTTGCGTTGTCGTCAATTGCTCCTAGGCG